CGTTTGCGGTGAGGTACGCGGCGCATCAGATCAACCTTCACCCCAGGGTCTCCAGGCCGGAGACCTCCCCAGCCTTGCTGTGGACGGGGAAGGTTGGCGATGTGTCGGCGTTCCGGGTCTGGGGATCTCGGGCGTTTGTCCGCGACTTGTCTGCGGACAAGCTGTCCCCTCGTGCTGCTCCTTGCGTCTTCCTGGGGTTCCCCCCTGACGCGCCTGGGTGGCAGTTCTACCACCCCACCTCTCGCCGTGTTCTGTCCTCCCAGGACATCACGTTTGACGAGTCGGTCCCCTACTACCGCCTCTTCCCCTACCGCACTCCGTCCCTCCCCCCACCCCGGCTCTTCCTTGTACCAGGTCCCCCCCAGGTAGACCCCCCTCCCCCCTCAGGGTCCTGCCCCTTCAGATGTGTCCGAGGTAGACGCAGTCGAGCCTGACGAGGTCACTGGTAACTCTGGTGCTGCTGAGGGTGCTAAGCCTGGGGGTGCTGACTCTGGAGGTGCTGAGCCTGGGGGTGCTGAGCCTGGGGGTGCTGGGCCTGGGGGTGCGGAGCCTAGGGGTGCTGAGCCTGGGGGTGCTGAGCCTAGGGGTGCTACGCCTGGGGGTTCTAGCCTGGGGGTGCTGAGCCTGGGGGTGCTGAGCCTGGGGGTGCTGAGCCTGGGGGTGCTATGCTTGGGGGTGCTTTGCCTGGGGGTGCTGGGCCTGGGGGTGCTGAGCCTGGAGGTGCTCCGCCTGGAGGTTCTCCGGGTGCTTCATCTCGCCGGGAGCCACTCTCTCTACAGGAGCTGTGCGAGTGGTTTGCCCGGCGCTGGAGCCGTGCTGCTGGTGCTGGAGGTTCTTCGGCTACTGAGGGTGCTGCTGTCGCAGGTCCCGGAGGTGCTCGTACTGGGAATACTGGAGCTGCTGGGCCTGCAGGTTCGACTGGAGCTGGTGCTGCTGAGGGTGTTGGCGCTGAGACTACCACTGGCGGTCCTCCTGGGGGTGCTCCTGGTGCTGCTGGAGGTTTTGGAGCCGCTGGAGGTGCTGCTGGAGCGGGTGCTCCTGCTGGGGGTACTAGTGCTGTCCCTGCTGTTTCCGGCATCGCCACGCGGCCTCGACCGTACTTCGTTCCACTCCTGCAGCAGGAACTCGGTCTTCCACTTTCTACTGGTTCTCCTCCTCCCATAGAGTGTCCACAGCATGTCCCGTCACAGTTACAGTTGCAGCCTACCTCACCTTTACCTGCTCCCTCTCCTTACACTGGTCCTACTGGAGGTCTTGCTGAGCGTCGTGAGCCTGCGTCTCGCCCTACATTGCCTGTCCGTCCTGCTCGCGCTAGTGGTCGTGGTTCGCGTCAGCGTCCTCCTCCTGTCCCTCGCACGCACAGGATGTCTCTGCGTCCGTCCACTGCTCCTCTGCGTGCTCCTTTGCCTTCTCCTCCTGAGTCCTCTCTTCCTGCTTTTGCCGACCCGGAGTCGGACTCTCTTCGTGCTGCCAGTCCTACTGTCACGCGTCTCCTGGCCACTGTCGTCACTGACCCTTCTTTCGAGTCCACTACTGCGTCTGCCCTCGTTGCTGAGCTCGTCGACTTTGCTGCTCGCTGTCGCCTAGACTACGCTGTTAGTCTTGTCGCTGGGTCTGAGTCTGTGTGTCCTCCGTCTGTCGGGGGTGAGTGTGCCCTTGGCACGGACGTTCTTGAAGACAGGCAGGAGGAGTTCCAGTGTCTGGCAGCTGCTTCACCTCATCTCGTGTCTGTATTGCTTACCCCTGAGGGAGACCTGGATGCACTTGACATCCCGACTCCGCGCTCTTACGAGGAGGCGATAGAGGGTCCCTACTCCTCTCAGTGGCAGGCAGCTATGGAAGCAGAGATGGCTTCTTGGAAGTCCACAGGCACCTACGTTGACGCTGTCCCCCCTCCTGGGGCGAACATCGTCAGTGGCATGTGGATCTTCAGGGTGAAGCGGCCGCCGGCTTCTCCGCCTTTCTTCAAGGCGCGTTACGTGGCTCGTGGCTTCAGTCAGCGGCAGGGAGTTGACTACTTTCAGACCTTCTCCCCCACCCCAAAGATGACCACTCTTCGGGCACTGCTACACGTTGCTGCTCACCGTGACTACGAGCTGCACTCTCTCGACTTCAGCACAGCTTTCTTGCAGGGCAGCCTGCACGAGGAGATCTGGCTGCGCCGCCCACCTGGCTTCACTGGGTCTTTCCCTCCTGGTACCCAGTGGAGTCTCCGGCGTCCAGTCTACGGTCTCCGCCAGGCGCCACGTGAGTGGCACGACACACTGAGGACTACGCTTGCGGCTCTTGGGTTTGCTCCTTCTACTGCCGACCCGTCGCTGTTTCTGCGCACCGACACCTCACTGCCGCCATTCTACATCCTCGTGTACGTCGACGACTTGGTCTTTGCCACATCTGACACTGCTGGACTCGCCCACGTGAAGTCCGAGCTGTAGAAGAGACACACGTGCACTGACCTGGGTGAACTGCGTAGCTACCTTGGCTTGCAGATCACCCGGGACAGAGCACGCCGCACCATTACCCTGACTCAGTCACACATGGTGCAGCAGGTCCTTCGACGCTTCGGCTTCACGTACTCCTCGCCTCAGGCCACTCCTCTGCCTACTCGCCACTCACTCTCAGCCCTGCCTTCGGATGAGTCCGTAGAGTCGAGTGGCCCGTATCCAGAGCTTGTTGGCTGCCTCATGTACCTGATGACCTGCACACGACCTGACCTTGCATACCCTCTTAACATTCTTGCACGCTATGTTGCTCCTAGGAGACACCAACCTGAGCACATGACTGCAGCGAAGAGGGTGTTGCGCTACTTGTGCAGTACGTCGGGCATGGGGCTAGTCCTTGGAGGGCGGAGTCCAGTGGTCCTCACTGGACACGCAGACGCTTCTTGGGCTGACGACCAGGCTACGCAGCGGTCGTCCCAGGGTTACACCTTCAGCCTTGGTTCCGGCTCTATTTCGTGGCGGGCTACTCACTCGTCTTCTGTTCTCGGCTCCAGTTGTGAGGTTGAGATCTACGCCGGGGCCATGGCTGCAAAGGAGCTTCGCTGGCTCACCTACCTGCTGACCGACCTTGGAGAGCCGCCTCGTTCTCCTCCAGTCCTGTACGTAGACAACAAGGCCATGCTGGCCTTGTGTCGAGAGCACAGACTGGAGCACAGAACAAAGCACATTGCTCTCCGCTACTTCCTTGCTCGTGAGCTACAGCAGCGTGGTCAGTTGCGGCTTGCGTACGTGGCCTCTGAGGCCAACACTGCTGATGTTTTCACCAAGGCACTTCCGCCTTGTGATCATCAGCGCTTCTGCACTCAGCTGGGTCTTGTCCCTGTCTTGCCTCACTTTCTCACCCCTTGACCTTGTTTGTACTGTTACATATATATATACCTGTTCTTGCTTGTCTAGCCTTATATGTATATGTACTCCTGCATGTGAACTAGCCTTGTGGCCTTGAACTTGTGCTCAGAATGTGTGGTGACGTTGTGATCCACCCTGAGCTTGCTTTGCTTTGCTTTGCTTGACCGGTCTTGTGACCCCTTGTTCTCCCCCACTTTGCCTATGGGGGTGTGTCAGAACATTATAGCTTATACTTTTGTGTAGGTTGTAGTGGGGTATCCCATAGGGGGTACAACCCACTTAGGGTTAGTACTTGTACCCACTTCATTCATAGTTCATTCATTCTCGTTCATAATTTCTCAATAGAAGCGCTTTAGGACCGATTGTTTCCAACAACATTTACTGTGGGCTCTGATTTTTTAAACCTGAATCATCGAGACACAGCTGAAGGGATGTCGAGACGTTAAACTGTCCGATCTCTCAATTGGAATGGCACTAATCGACATCCCGCTACATGAAACTCCGCCACCTCGGTTGCTCGCCCCCGGATGAGCTTCTCCTTTTTCCACTCCGCGAGAGTGTTGGACAAATCGCTCCCTGGAGTCTCCTCGTAGGTGCAGCTGCCAAGGGGATTTGGAACGCGAGATGTGAGAGAAACTTTCACGAAACGTCTACCACCAAATTTGAAGTTCTTCAACTCATCCTCGCCCAGTTCCTTCTCGCTTTCAAGATCTTTTCGTGGAGAAGGTCCGCCCAGTCTGCTAAAAAACAACAACGCTCCGCCTCTCGCATCAAGACCGCCACCCGCCTCCGTTTCATTTGTTTTGACGCCACAGGCGTCCCCTCTATCCATCCTGCCCTTCGCGCCTCGTGGCTTCTTGGCAACCCCTTCCGTCCACCATAAATGTTCTCTCCATCTTAGAGCGCTCTCCCACATGCACTGGGGGATATCCCCTCGGGGATTGGGGGATATCCCCTCGGGGATTGGGGGATAACGTGTTGGGACGTACTCCTTATAGGTTGTTGGCCCTGTGGCCATATTCCCTGCTTGCTCTATGTATGATTGTATACTGGTTACGACCTTAATATAACCTTAACCTTAATCTACATGAAACGCCCGCATGAAACACACTCTGGGAACATCTTTTCCTCCCCCAGTTACAGTTGTTCCCCTGTCGTGAATCGTAGCCGCTAGTCGTCCCCCGCTTAGGCGCTTCCCGATGATCGCGGCAGTTTGACGGAGCCTTATCTCACCAGCCTCCTCCCGCCTCGACTTCGCTCACGCGCCTCGTTTCTGGCCCACGAGTCGAGGGAACTTACCCCAGTGAATGCCCGTGCCACCCCACCAGTTCCACGTGCCCTAACCTTTCTAGCCCCCGCCGCCACACTCGCCTTGCCTGCGCAGCCCCGCACCTCTCCATGGTGCGCGCGCCGCTGTCTCCGCCCGCTCGTCGCTCCTCGCTTCTCCTGCGTCCGCCTCCCTTGCCGCCCCTTGTCGCTGCTGCTTCGCGCCCAGCGGCAGCCAAGCCCACTCGTGCGCAGATGTCGAACCATTAGCATTCTGCTCCTCGTTCCCGTACCGCGCTCCTCCCGTTGCTCGCTATCCGAAACCTCCCTCCCCTCTCCCACCCCACCTGATGTCTCTGCGCCCCGCCGCTCGTCCCCCGGCAGTCCACGGCGGCGGGCAGCAGCAGCGCGGCTGGCGGCGAGGCGTCGTCGCTGCGGTCGTACCTGCTGTGCATCCGACACACGCTGCACGCCGCGCTCTGCCTGCAGGTGCCGTGTCACGCAGGGGGGTAGGGAGGGATAGGTGTCGGGCGCGTGTGTCCCCGCAGCAGCGAGGCAGGGCGAAGCCACGCCTCTGGTCGTGCGCGCTGCCTCAAGCGCTCACGTGCGCACGGCATGGGAGCTCCAGGTGAGAGAGGGGGTAGTCGCCTGGGCGCAGTGGCGAGGGGCGCGGGAAGGGCACACGCCAGCATGCTGAGGGGCTCGCCCGCCCGCCTTGCATGGCAGGCCGTGGCGCTGTGGATCAGCGGCCGCGTGTGATGCAGTGGGTAGTCGTCGGTGCGAGGGGCGGGTGGCACGGACGCTTGGCGTGGGTGGCAGACAGGCCGGCACGGCCAACACAGCCACGTGTGCGCCATGCTGCCCTGTGCGCTCCACTGCCCTTGCTCCACGTGTGCTGGCGGCGTGCGTGTGCAGCGCAGCAGGGGGGTACCCACCATATCCATGCACGGCCTTGTGGGAATGTCTTCTCTGTGTGACCGGGAGACGATTGGACCTGCGTGTGCTGTACCCGGGAGTGTACCTCCAGAAACGGGGGTTTTTCTGTCTTATTAACAGGGCGTTGTCTGTGTGGCGCTTGTTTTGCTCAAAGGCAATGATGCTCAGGGGTATTCGGTGTGCTAGGACAGGGGAGAGTGGAATGAGTGAGCAAGTCAAGATGCTTGCCTTGTGCAGCAGAGGTCAGCTTACAAGGGACCACAAGGTTCTTTACTTCCAGAGTGACACTCTATATCCACGCGATGCCACTCACCTCGTCATCTCACACCAGGATGGCGTTATGTTGTCGTTCCATGCCAAGGAAAGCCCCCACCAGCATCCCAGCTTTCCACTCATAGACCCTTTCACACCCACCATGCCTCCCTCAGGTACAGCCCTGAGAGAGCACTTCCACCGTTAACATGTTTCACACTCCCATGGATGGATACGCGTTACACCGGCATAGGGAAGGGGCATGCCCGCATAATCGCTTCGCCGGGCAGGTCATATTAGAACGCTGGCGTTTGGGATCAGAGCGTCCGACATTGTTGAAAGGAGGAGGAAATAGGTGGTTTAGGGAGAGCGAGAAATGCTGAGTTGCGGCAGCGAACGTAGAGAAGTATCGAGGTCTAGGTAGAGGGAGTGGGATTTGAGGTGAGCAAAAAGTTTGAAAATCCTTGGGTGCAGAATTTGACTTATGCGTTGGCAACTTTCCGTCACGAATTGCCAAGACGTGTGCGTGTTGCTGAATAATGCACGTGTACGGACCTGCATATACATTTGCATCCGTTGTTGCAGAAGTTGCCGTTTGAACAACTCGCTTGCATATTGCATAAATCGTGGTGCATAACATAATGGGTAATATGCTAGCGTATTGTGTGATACTTTATCCCTCCCATGTTTTTCTTTCCAGTTAGGTATGGCCTACGAATCCCGCAGGTGTGTTCTTGATAGTATTTTTGCAGGGCATTCGAAGGAGGTCAGCTGGTGGTGGTGTGGTGTGGGGTCGGTGGGGGTCGTAGGATAAGGGAAGAGGGGAGTTTGAGTTGACGCGATGAGGGCTGCTGGAGTGGTGGGCGAAGAAGGCAGTTCAGCTATAGCGTGCAAGGAGTGGCAGGGTTGGGAGGCGAGAAGCAGTGTGCACTGGGTGTGTGCCCCAGAACTTGGGCCAGTGCCCTCAACAGGGGGTCAGTACAGCTGACGTCAGCAATCCAGAGCTCAGACTGAGGCTAATTTCCCTCTAACCCTTAATCCCTCCCCTTCTCACCCCCACTTCCCCATCTCCCACTCGGCATCCCCTATGTGCATGGCTCAGGAGTTTCCCTGTCAAGATGTGGAGCGCTACTCCAAGCCAGAAGTCGAGTTCAGGTGCCCTGCTGCCCTCCTCCCGTGCTGCCCTGCTGCCCTGCTGCCCTCCTCCTGTGCTGCCCTGCTGCCCTCCTCCCGTGCTGCCCTGCTGCCCTGCTGCCCTGCTGCCATGCTCCTGTCACTCTGAGTCGAGTCGAGTTCTTCAATGGAAACTCACCTTGATTTTCATCTTTGCGATTGCTTTTTCTACAAATCATTCCATCGTTCTCCGCGGCTGGTTCTGAGCCCGCATCCTGCCACTGCCGCTTCCATTAATCTCTGCGCTGCTGTGCTCTGTGGCCGTTGCACGAGCATCCATTTCTGCTCCTCTTGTGCTCACTGTGTGTGCATGTGTGACTGGGTGCCTGGGTGCATGGCATCATTTGTCTTGGTCGCGTGGTGCCAGGACAAGTCCGGAGCTCCTTCTGAATCCGGTACCTTCCTCCACCCTGCACATCCCAACCTCTGCCACACCACTTATGTGGATTCCCCGATGCTTGCACCTCTCGCCTGCACTGCTGCCTCCACATGCCCATACCATGTCGCCCTCTTGCGTCTTCTCTTTCCAATTGAGAGACTCCCTTGTGCCCTTCTCCACCCGTGTCACAGCCACCCATCGTGTCCACTTGCCTTGGTTCTCTCCATGCGCCCGGCAGGTGGTGATTTGCCGCAACGAGTCGGAGAGGTGCCTCATTGAGGGCTCCATCAACTCAGTGCGAGTCAGCATCAAGGTGCCACTGGGAGGCACCCACGTGCATGAGACAATTTTAGACTGGGCCATATAATGCACCTTGTGTTGCAGTCTGAACAACATCAGCCGCGTATCCACTGCCTTGGCCATGAACATTTGTCCCCCACACTCGTGTTGCTCCATGCACGCACTACCTCATCGCCGAGGCGCCAAGTCAGGGCATTTTTCCATTGATGCTGATGTGGTCGGGGCGGCAGGTGAAGCATGCGGACGAGATGGAGAACCTGCTGGGGTCCAAGTACCTCTCCTTCCTCTCCATGCGCGCTGAGTCCTTCCTCGTGCTGCGTCGCAAACCACTCCCGGTATGCCTTACCACTCCCGGTATGCCTCACCACTCCCGGTATGCCCCACCACTCCCGGTACGCCCCACCGCTGTTTCTCTTATTCCTGTGCTGCTCACAGCCATGCTGTGCTGCCACCCTAGAATTCAATCTCGGCAGTACCCTTGCCATCTCGGACCCCATAATTGGCTCACCAGTGCTCCGCCTGACTTCTGCTACTCTTGCAGGACAATGCCTCGGGTCCTTGCCCTTCTCCACTCTCACCTGCTCGCTTCTTTCGTCTCCCTCTCTGCCCCCGGCCTGCCCTGGCCTCCCTGCCTGCCCATGCCGCCAGGGCTACGACCTGTCGTTCCTGATAACAGCGGAGCACTGCCAGTCGCTGCACAAGCACCGCCTCGTCGACTTTGTAGTGCGCTTCCTGCAGGTCAGCCCCTCGCTGCTCCCCCGCCCTCCTTCCTGCTGCACTGCCTCAGCTCCCACCACACCTCCTGCTCATGCTTCTTACTCAGCACTTGGTTGTTGCGTGCTCACTCTGCCGTGCATCAAGAACACAATGTATGTGTGCACTGCTGCCTTTGCTTCTTCTTCTCCAAGTCTCAACACTACCCTTCTAAACACTCCTTCCGCATCCCAAACCAAAGTACTCCCTCCCCCTCCCTCGGCCCCCCTTGCCCCTGTGCGCGGCGCGCACCAGGACATGCACCGGGACATGGCGGAGCTCAAGGAGGCCATCAACGCCAGTGGCCGAGTCGTCGCAGCTGACTTCTTCAAGCAGTTCCTCTGAGTTTCTGACCCCTATCCCTGTGCTACTACCACACATGCTTACATGTGCCCACTTTGGATGTGCTATACATACCGTCACCCCCCGGATATACCCCCATGGGGGGCTATAATATAACATGTTTTTTTGAGGGGGTGGGCTTATAATATAGTAAATTTATAAGCGCCGGCGTTTATAATTTGTCAAAATTGAAATTTGTTTTTAAATATACCAAATCGAAGCATTCTCAAAGGCGGATTCACCTGGGTCGAGAACGTTCGAAACTGTGCATGCATTGCGCGTGAAACGGCCAACAAGGCGTGGCTTCACGCCTTCCACGCCTTGTTGGCCAGGCCAGGTTCATCGAACGTGAACCTGGCCCATGCCAGTGCACACGTACCTCGCATCACAGCGGCCCAATCAGGGTTGCATGCGATCGTGGGCACGTCGTGGTTCAGCCACGGTGTGCCCATCAACAGCAAAATTCCCCGCCACCGAGGCAAGGAGCTGCCCAGCTCAGCTCCTCTGCGGGGAATCTTGACTGGGGCCGCCCTTTTCCCGCAGAGGAGGCCGGGCCGCGAAAATGAAGGGGTCTCGGGCGAGGGCTTCATACAGCCCTCATTCTCGACTTTTGCCTTCAGTTTCTTTGTTCGTTTGGCCTGCCGTGGCCATGGCGGGCCTTCCAGGCACGCATTTCTTGTTCCGCCGCCATCCTGCTGCCAGAGAAAACACCCGCCGAGACACCTGTGACTACTCTCGATGGCAGTCGCGCCCTGCGCCCGTCCCTCCGTGTCAACCAGTAGCTCCTCCCGTTCCTCCCACTCCTCCAACTCCTCCTGCACCTCCCGCTCCCCCGGCGCCTCCGGTTCCTCCAGCTCCTCCGTCCCCTCCTGACCCGCCTGTGTTTAGTGCTCCACGTCAGGGGGTCCTGCAGCTTCTCCTCCCTCCTGGCTACTCGGCGTTTGACGTGTACCTGTCCGAGCCCGACCGCACCGGTGGCGTATCGTCTTCCTCCGCACCGTCGCCACGCTGGGGAGCCCCGGCTGATTGCCAGTTGGACGAATCCGCGACTGGTGCGGAGGATGACGTGGAGTTTTGGGTTGCCGACGGTCTTCCAGAGCACCTGCCTATTCCCACCTTCCCCCCCCCCAATAAGAAACGGCCCCACCCTTCTCGCGAGAATCGCGATGCCCGTCCTCCCTCCCCCAGGCACAAGCCTTCAAGTCACAAGCGGCACTCTTACACATCGCAGGAGAAACTGCAGTGGATTCTCAAGCTTGAGTCCGGGCACATGAGCGTGCGGCAGATGTCTCGCCAAACCGGCATCTCCCGAAGGTCACTCGCAGAATGGAAGACCCGGAAGGCTGACCTGGAGGGCGCGCATGCTGCTCGCAAGCGTCTTCATGGGCGCGGAAGGAGCTCGTGGTATCGCGACATGGAAGCTGAAGTCTACAGGAGGTTTCTTGCCCACCGTAAAAAATGTCTCGCGGTCTCGATCGCTCGCCTACAGAAGTGGTCGCATGAGGTGATGAAAGAATTGCACCCACAGGTAAAGTGGTCCGGCTCGCAGCGGTGGACTGAGCGGTTTCGCCGCCGTTGGAATCTGACAACCCGAGCGAAGACCAGGGTCGGCCAGAAGCTTGCTGCCAGTGAGTTTTGTGGGAAATGGTTGCAGTTTAATGTGTACTGCTTTGTGTTGTTTGTCTCTTTATGTTTCACGGTTGAATTTTAACGCGTCATTAATACTGTCTTCTCTCTTTCCCTCCCACCCGTACTCCCAGACTGCGAGACTGACGTCAGGAATTTCTGGAAGTTCGTGCGTTACACCCGCCGCCAATACAAGATTGACCCGCAGTGGATAATAAACGCGGACCAGACACCACTGTGGCTCGAGATGCCTGCCGAACGCACAGTCGAGGAGGTGGGTCTGCGCTCTGTGCCTATCCGTAGCGGCGGCTATCAGAAGGAGCGAGTTACGGTGATGCTCGCCTGCACTGCCAGCGGTGAGAAGTTGAAGCCGTGGGTCTTCTTCAAACGGAAGACCCTGCCTAAAGGGGATTTCCCTTCAGGTGAGCATTAACACCCACTGCTGCATGTTTTTTTTTTTCAATGTCTACTGATGTTGTATGTGCGTTTGTGGCTGTGCAGATGTTACGGTGTCCGTCCATCCCAACGGTTGGATGGACGCGGACGGAGTCATCGAGTGGCTCGACGGGGCAGTGAAGCCATTCGTCCACCCCAAGTTCGGAGTGAGGCCCCGCAAAGCGATGCTCGTCTTGGATTCGTACCGCGGGCACCTGACTGCGGAGGTGAAGAAGAAGTTCGGGGAGCTGAACATCGTCCCTGCCGTTATCCCAGCTGGTTGCACCTCGGAGATTCAACCTCTGGACGTCGCGGTGAAACGCTCCTTCAAGGCATCCGTTCGCCAGCTCTACCAGGAGTGGTTCGAGAGCGAGGGGGTCGACACCTTGACAAAGAAAGGTGAGAGAGGCAGGCCATGCGTGTGCTGCTTTATCAGTTTGTAGCGGTGGCTGACTTTTGATTGTTTAAATTTTATGGCAGGCAACATCAAGAAGCCACCACCCGAGCTAACGCTCAAGTGGATATCAGCGGCTTGGAAGGCCGTGCCCAGGGACTTGATTCAACGGGCTTTCCTCACCTGTGGCATTAGTAACGCCCTGGATGGGTCCCAGGACAAGATCTGCCTGCAACACAGGCGCGGCGAGCTTGAGGGCGACGAAATAGACATCGACCACGACATTGCAGTAGATGGCTTTTTCTGCAACAACGTAGAAGAACCAGAGTCGGACTCTGAGGCCGACCCGGATGATCCTACCGCAGCTGATGACTAGATTACGTAGATCTAGAAATTGCTGTAGCCTGTGAGACTCGTAGGTAGATTTAGAACTGTAATTAGAAAAAACTGTAGATAAACTGACTTTGTAGTTAATTAGATGAAAATATAAGTTGTTAATGTGGTTAGTGAAGTTTGTAGAAAAAAAATATTTAAAAAAGTGGCGGTTATAATGTGTAAGGTATAGGTATGCGGCTATAATCCGTACGACTCTAGGGTATGCGCTTATAATCGAGGAGGGGATATAAGCGCCATATGCCAATTAGAAGCGCCAGGCGCTTATCCTAGGGTGGCGCTTATATCCGGGGGGTGACGGTAACTAAGCGTGCTACTCAGTACGACTCCCCGGGCTGTTTTTATCAGTGTACTTTACCCTGATATACTGTAGTTTTTATCCGTGTGGTTTTTGTAGTCACGCTTTAGGTTAGAGATTTGTTTTTTGGGGATTAGGTTTTCCCTGATTTGACAGGGTTTCTATTTCATACACGATGTTGCTTCAGATTTACCATCTGTATTAGCGATGTTTTCCCTGAAGCAAGTATAAGGCTTCTTGACGAACCCCACCTCCCTGCCCCTCATTTACCCAACCCAAAGAGCATGATTTTCGAAATATTCGCAAATGATATATTCGTATCACCCGGATATAAGACATGTTACGATAAGGAAACGAGTGTCAGAAACTAAGGAGCAGGAATGTGGTGTTGGGAATATAAACGCATGACTTAGTGCGTTTCTGTAGTATCGAACCTCACCCGATACTGAAGCACAACAAAAGGGGTATGAAGTCGAAAAGGCGCGTACCACATCAAACCGCAACTGGAGGTTGCGAGCTGTAACCGCCTGGAGGTTACGTAACAGCAAGCGACGCTTCAGTGAACATTAACCACCTCGATAGTCGAAGCGTTACGCGTCTCGATAAACATAACCGCTTCTTGTAATCTATCTTTCCTATATATTCCTGTATGCTCTTTGCTTTAATCAATTACTTGTTCTCACATACCAGCACAAGTACATTCACTCAAAAGACTTCCGCTGTGCTACTCTAGCACCTACTAGCCTATTCTCTGCAAAGATCCTAAGGCTGAAATCCTCAGCCCAACATGGTATGAGAGCGGTCAGAGAACAAAGGCTCTCGTCACTAAGCCTCTTCCAGGCTACCGATCTGCAAGCAACCAAGAAGTTCAATCTTCATTCAGGAAAGGCAAGACATGGCAAGTTGCAAAGAAAGAAGATCATCTACGGGATCTACTCTACCCCCGGTCTCCGAGTTGCAGACCGAAGGAGGAACAACGCCCGGATTAACGCCGGAAGCGACGGAACGTTCTACTCAAGCGCCAGTAGCGCCGCCAACAATCTTCAACCCAAGCTTAATGGAGGAGTTCTTCAACTTCATGTCGCAGCAGCAGTCCTCGCAACCTGCAAACAGCAACAGCGTAAACAACGGAGCGGCACCAATGAGTATTGACAACTCATCGTTCGGACGACATAATCAACAAACACCAAATTCGGTCTCACCTGGTTCCTTCACGTTCATGCTGCCTCCCCATCCAGCGACCCCTCTTCCCGCCATCAAACGAGACACCGAAGAAGTCCTGCAAGTACAAGCACAGTTCAACAACATCCTACGACTGCACACATCCACACCATTCAGCGGGAAGGACTTCTACTCTTGGAGCTTCGAGTTTGAACTCCTGATGGAAGGCGCGAATCTTCTTGGATTCTTCAACGGTACCTGGCCATATCCACACAACGGCGAAGACAAGGACAAAGAAAATTATACGTATTACTTCCTAATGGCTTACACCGTTCTTCTCCGAAACCTGTCGCCGAACGAACAACAAAGCATCCGCGCCTACCGGAACTACGCAAACTCCGCGGAACTCGCCTATCAACATCTGCGAAGCATTCATCAAGCATCCGACAGCGTTACACAAAGCCGACTCATGGCACAACTGACAACAGTTCAAATGCAACCTGGAGAAAAGGCCATGCCTTACATCAGTCGTTGTCAAGGACTACGCGACAGACTTATTCGCTGCGGAGGAAACTTATCTGAAGAAGCTTTCGTAACCGACGTTCTTGCCGGCCTTGGACCTCAATGGCGCACCACCCGTTCACTTCTTCGCGCTCACGGTCGACTCTCCGAAATGCATCTCTGCGCCGAACTTCA